AGCCTGGTTATGTAATTGGGGCCTATGTCACAGTGAATTCTGAGGCAATCCGGAGAGTAAATACATCTGAAATCACCATAATCAGCTGTGAAAAGTGAGAGGCAATTGATAGGTTCTCAGGGCTTACAAACGTGCAGCTGGGATTTCTAAATGGCATCAATGTTCCCGGTGTCTGTTTAGTCAAGCAGGCCGTGTGCTGTAAATGGAAGCGGAGCGGGCCGGGAGGAGGGAAGGGAGAAAGAGTGTGTGTGTGTGTGTGTGTGTGTGTGGTTAAAATTTCACAAAAAAAATTAGGACAGGAAGCCTGCTTACCGCTCAAGAAGTGCTTTCACTACGTCAAAACAGCCGTGCATTGCTGCGAGAGAGAGGAAGTGGATGGTAATTCATGTTTCCTCCCACCTACAAAGGAAAAATAACTGGGTCTGTGCCCCTTTGGGCTTATTTGTGATGTATAAAGAAGCCCTGAAAGATTCTTAATTAAAACCTTTTCCTGCTTGTTATTTTTATGTGAGCCGTATCAGGAATATCCAACCGTCTCTATGTCCTCCAAGGACTCTCCAGACAAAACAGGAGAGAGAAGTGACGTGGAAGCTTTGTTTGCCCTGAACTGAAGTGTGTGTCTGTGTTTTGAATCTTAACAAACAGATTTTTTTCTCCCATTTTGTTAGGCCTTTAAGTTAAATAGGTGCGAAGCAAGACTAGCACAGAACAAAGAGTTTTAAGAAATCTGGAAAATATTCCCTTCCATTCTCAGTTGCTCAGGTTTTGCTTCCTTGATAATTCAGCTGGACATGTTTGGTACTGTGCCATGCACAACACACTGACTATTGGGAGCTGAGAACAGGCATGCTAGGAACATGCACTTAGCACATCTCCAGTCATCCAGTCTCCTAGGGAAAAAACCCCATGGTAAAAGGGATCTGAATTGCAAATGTAAAATCCTCTCTGGCTTCTTAATACATGATATTGCAGCAAAATGGGGGAGGAACCCTATTTTTTTTCCTTTGTAGGCCACCTTCATATAATAAAACCAAACTCACAGCTGCTAATATCAGGTTATTTACTCATTTTGATTAAGCAGGACAACACCGTAAATGTTTTGGTCCCACAACCAAACACAGAACTGCAGTTGAAGAAGGGCTCTCAGCATATGTTGCACACAAATGATAGTCTTAGCTTTAATAGCAGCATTGCCAATCTCAAGAGATGACAAATTATGAGTCAGACCCTCAAAAATCACAAAATTGAAAAAAATCATGAGATTTTTAGTCTGTCGTTTAACTTTTTAACTTCCCTCTATTCCTCTGCCAATATGTGTGTGACAATTTCGGGTTGAAAAGTCAACCTCTAATGCTCCCCAAAAATGAACACTTTTCCCTGGCTGCCCAGATGGAGACTTCTGTCTCATCCCTAGGACAGGGGAACTGCCATCCATTTCCTATTACTGTCTTCTGTCTAGATACAGCAGCAGCACTTCCCTGCCTCCCGCTACCCTGGGACCTCGCTACCTGAGACCTAGCAGTGCAACTTCCCATCTCCCACCTCCAGCTGCCCTAGGACTCTCTCACTGGTGTAGAGCCGTGAAGGCAAGGCTCAGTGGCAGGACCTTAGCCCCAAGGTCCCCTCACAGAGTTCTGCCCCTGTGCCCAGCCCTGAAAATCATAAGATCAGCAGAGTTTCTCATGTCACTGCAACAGTTTATCCTGCAGGCACCCAAATCCTGTGACATGATCAGTTTGCGAGAGGTGGCAACACTGCCTTCCCCTGGCTGCCGGAACAGGACTTCCCTTTATCATCTCCATCATCATCCCCAAGCTGGGGAGCTGCCACTGAATCCCCTCCATCTCCTGCCCCATCACTGTTCTCTCCACCCCCTCAGCCTCCCTCCTGCCCCCATACTCCTTTGCTCCTCCCACTCCTCTGCACTGCCCGCAGCCTTCCTCCCTGCAACTCCCTTCTCAGCCTTCCCCTGCATCCCATTCATCTGCAACCCCTAAATCTGCCCCCTGCTCCTCATCATTCTCCTCGCCCACCCTTCACAGTGTCTCTGCTGGTCCTCACAGTCCCTGTGTTCTTCTATCCAGCCCTCTGGGCCATACTGTGGCAGCCATTCTGCCTGTGGGCACGGCTTCTATCTCATTGGAAACAGTGGGAGGTGGCAGCCAACTTTATTAAGGGTAGCCTCCTTCCACGTGCAGATAGACCGTAGGGAAATAGCGGCCGTCTTGCTGGCTTCAAAGCTAAGCCCCCGGACAATTATAGGAGATGGCAGCCATTCTGAATAATTCACGAGTTGGCACCTTTTGCTGAGTTTTCACCCCCAAAATCACTAGGGCCATGATAAAATTGTGGAAGTTGGCAACCCTGTAATAGCAACAGTCGAACAATGAAGCTGGTGTGTTGTGGCCACAGTTTATAGCACTGATCAGTCACAATGAGCTCCCTGTCTTTTGTGGTACCCACCCATTGTCTTGTCTTATACTCAGATTGCAAATTCTTTGGGGCAGAGACTATCTTTTTGTTACGTGTGTCTTCAGGGCCCAGCATAATCCTGGCAGCTAATTTGGGTATCTAGACGTTTCTCTTGTCCTTGCTGAGCGGGGTGGTGGTGGGGTAGGTAGGTGATGTCTCCCATTCACACCCACATCTCTCAGGACGACAGCTGGGTGCCAAATGGGAATGCACCTCACACAAATGGGGGGGGGGGGCTTGGGGCAGCAGCAACCCCCAGCCCTGGGGAGAGCTGGGCACCCCCATGTGTGAACCAGTATCTACAGGGCCCTGCTTCTTTGGGGGGGACGGGGGACGGAGCCACTCTCTCTGCCCCCCAATGTGAGCTGAGATCTAGAGGAAGCAGAGCATCCCATTTCCCCAAGTTGCCTCCAGCAGCGGGGAAGGGGCTGGAGGCTCACCCTTCCCCCAGTGCTGCTGCTTCTAGGGGTAAAGGGAGGTCAGAGCAGTGCAGGGGAGTGTAGGGAGGAAAGGAGGAGGGGCCAGAACTATACAATAGGGGGTGTGGGGCTTTCAACTCTGTCCCCTCCCCCACCTCCCCATATCCACACATCCTATTTCTGTCCCCCATTCAAACAAAACATGCCCCCCCAGTGCTGAGACCAGGATGGGGACCTGGGAACAGGCATGTTCGGTGCATGGAACAGGCACATACACACAGCACTGAGATTGTGCTTGGGAGCTGAGAACAGGCAGGCTCGAAGATACCTCCGACAGTGCTGAGACCAGGGTAAGGAGTTATTGTAACAGGTTAAATTCATCTCCTATGGGATGGTCTCATTCAGCTGACATCTCATTGAGAGGAATGGGCGATTTCACACCTGAGTCTGTTATGCTGCAGGACATGAGAGCTCATTCCCCATACACCAGGCCCAGATCTGCATTTCCATTCTCCTGCCCCCCTCTCCTGCCTCCAGCTGGTATGTGTACTCTTGACAGCCACACCATCTTTCCACCTCCCCACGCCCCTGCCAAGCTTACCAGGGGCATGGAGTGGCAAGGAGCAGAGTTATGGTCACCCAGTGGTGCCTCGTGAGATTCAAGAATATTTAGTTCAGCTGCATTCAAACCTCTGAAAGCCAGGAAATGAAGAGTTAAAGGAAAGCAAACAAACTTCAGAAATCCAGGAAGTACAGAAGGTGGAAGCCACCCCCACAAGGCAACCTTACGCTGTCTGCTCTCTTTGAGTGATGATCTAGTGCACCCATAGCACACACTAGCACTCTGCAGAACACTGAGAACAGAGCACGTGAGCACCGTTGGACAAAGTCTAACTAACACTTTCTCTTCGCTAAAGCAAAACTCAGGTTTAGCTCAAGTGTCGCAAACTGGAGCTACCTATACTACACTTGGGCCTACACTCAAACACGGACCCACTCCCCACAAACGACCCTAGACTTGATAAATGTTACCACCCCTTTACCCTTGCCTTGAGGATTCCTTCTGATACATGGCCTTCACTCGCCCCTCCCTAAGCCCCAGAGACCACCACCCTGCTGACAGTCCCCACGGCAAGAAGACCCCTATGTACTGCTCCTGACACAGCCTACAGAGCTCAGCACTGAAATAAGGTATACTTGATACCAGAAGGTACACGTGGCCTTTTGTCATACTGCAGTCACAGCTCTGCCAAGCTATTCTAACTGGTCCCTCTATCATTCAGTACATCTCACACAGTGAATGCAGCTGCAGCTCTTGCACATTAAATGCTGGAATTCCAATCTATGGAACACAACACAAACAACGATGGCATGTTCTCTTAGTCCTTCCTCATATCTACTTATTTTAGACTCATACATTTTAAGGCCAGAGGGACTATTAACTAGCCTGACCTCCTATAGAACATATGTCAGAGAATTCCATACAGTTACGGCTGTGTTGCATCTAATACCTTGTGTTTGATTCTAGCATCTTCCAGAAAGGCTTGACTTGAAGACTGCAAGAGATGGAAAATCCACCATTTCCCTTCGCTGTTTGTTAGGTTTTGCACCATCCTTACTGACCCATTCCCAGGGGCTATTGCCAGCTCCAGAGGGGCAGACTTAAGGTTGTGTTGTGGCGGTGATGTGAACCTTAACTGTTCATTTCTTGGTTTTCAGAGGTCTGAGTGTAACTGAACTCAATGTTCTGGAAGGGCACAAGACACAGCCAGGCAACCTTAACTCTGCATTAATAAAATTTTGGGGCACTTAGTTAATTAATCCTCAAAGTACTCATGTGAGGCCTGGTAAGTATTATCCCCACTCACAGATTGTTAAACTGTGGCACAAAGCTGTTAGGGGACAGCGAGTGAGAGAATGAGGATCCGATCACTAGACCCCACTCCCTACCATGCACATGACTAATGTTATTAGAATATAAGGCACACTTTGCACAGGTGTAAAAGGACTATACAACATGCAAGGCAGTGGAGAATCAGGCCTGCATGCTAATCCAAGTATGCTCCCAGTTTAGTAACAGCCCCAACACTGATTATTCATACCCCTAGCAGGAATACATTATCACCCTTCACACAGGCACAGATCAAAACTGCTGTTTTAGGGGCAACTGCAAGTGATAAAAAATTATAGCCTGATGCGCTTCTAATCCCTGAATGACACAAACTCTTCTGGGGCCATTAGAAGTAGGGTCCATACCTGCCGTGTGCAGAGGAGTTCTCTTTATTTTGCTTTCTGTGTTCCAGCTGCTCGGAGACACAGTGAGCAAGTACTGGATGATCTGGGGATCACCCTCTCGACTTGCTATATGGAAGCAATTCCAGCCATCTTTGTTCTTTAACAACGGGTTTGCTCCATGCTCAATGAGATCTTTAATCACCTCCAGGTTCTTCCTGGTGCAAGCCATCATGAGAGGAGTCCTCAAAAAGAGAAGGGAGAATAAACACACAATGCATCTTTATTATACCACCAGCTGCTCGACAGCTAGCCCGTTACGATCCAGACTCCATTGCTGTAACAACTGAGTTTGAAGCAAGATTTAAGGTTGGCTGTGGCCAAAGAGGGTTCTAGCACAGCGTGTGGGTGCAGGTTACTTGCCAGGATTATCTGGGTATACCTCATTCAATCATTTCCCTGGCGTTTGCAGGGGCCTCCAGCAGGTCCCTCCTGTTCTCTGCCTATGGCATGAAACAGTCTAGTCTCTTGTGGGCTGCAATATTTTGGTCTCGTTTTGGTTGTTGGTTTAGTTTGAGGGTGCTGGATGGTGTTGGTGGCCTGTGACATACAGCAGGTCAGACTGGCTGATCTAGTGTTTCCCTTCTGGCCTGTGATTCTATGACAGTCTGGCCAGCCAGTGTGGACTAGGATTATGGACCTAGTAAACGCGGTGTTATCATCTTATCCTCTTGCGGCCAGCCTACAGATAGGACAGATGACCTACTAAAGCCACTACAAGCTAGGGGAGATCTCCTTTAGTTCAAGCGATCGAGGTGCTTTTGAAATCGAAGTCCGGGATTCTATCCCCAATGCCACATGTGGATGGTTTGGCTGATCATCAACATGCCTATACAGGTGCAGCATATGAACTCACGACAGATTCTAGAGCACCATTTTCTCACTTAGTTTGTTCACTGTGCACCCTGGCTGGCTGTACCACTTGGGCCCAAGTGAGTTTAAACCAGTTTAAACATTGCTACAGCAGAATAACCAGAGAAAGAGCCAAAGGGCTGACACTGGAAAATCTTCTCATCAGAAGCAACCAATCAATTTTATGTGCATATTGGCATAACAACACACTCTTGTTTTCCACTAAAATAACAGAGAAAAGAAAGGCAGTGTGTACTTGAGATTTTCTGTTGTAGCTGCAGCCGGTCAGATCAGTACTTTTTACCCCCTACTGTCCCATTCCCTTCATCAGCATCGACAGGGGGGACTGTAGATAACAAATCACAAATTGGACAAACCCCTTTTCCAAGTCAATATGCGCTAGCCTCACAGTGAGATACTTATGCGGGGCAATCAGCACAAGTGTGATTCTTCATACTATTTTTTTTTTTAAACATTCAAGACTGTTCTCGTTACATTGTGGTGTGAAAACTTGCTAAGACTGTGGATCGCACTGGCATCTTCCTAAGGCCTTGAGGACCACCCCCAATTGGTCTATATAACAAAAGTAATGACTACCTGTACTTAACATTGTGACCCCTCCATCTGAGAATCTCAGCGTCCCTCATAAGCATTAACGACCACACTTATGTCCAGTAGAGAAGTAAAGAATTATTATTCTCATTTTACAGATGGGGTAACTGAGATACAGTGTGACTTGCTGAAGGCCATAGCAAATCTGGCAGAGTCAGGAACAGAACCCACCTAGCTTGACACCCAGTCTGACGTCCTAACAGCAAGACCCTCCTTTTATATGTAGGTAAAATAAGTGCATACAACTGTAATAATATTTGATTTGATGGTATCGCCCATTTTTTAATGTAATTGCAATAAACTACATTTCATAGAATCATAGAATATCAGAGTTGGAAGGGACCTCAAGAGGTCATCTAGTCCAACCCCCTGCTCAAAGCAGGACCAATTCCCAGCTAAATCATCCCAGCCAGGGCTTTGTCAAGCCGGGCCTTAAAAACCTCCAAGGAAGGAGGTTTTTTGATCAGCTGTGGCTTCACCCCGCTGCCACAGTCCACATTTGAGTATCAGGACACACTCTGGGCACCGTCTGATTAGCATCTGATTCTTGCACTCACTTATGCACATGTTTAATTTACACATGTGAGTAATCCCATTGACTTCAATGGCACTACTCACATGCAAGCGTGCCTAGTGATTACAGGGTCAGGACCCTACATTTGCAGTCTCCTAGTATTTCTTTCACCCTTGCAGTGGGTACTTTTTGAGCATTCTCGTGTGCTCTAAGCAGATCAAAAGACGCAGTCCCTGTCCCCAAGCAGTTTACAACCTAAACTAATCCTCTGCTGCACTAACATGTCTCCAGACAAACAGCAGCAGGAGCAAAGGTGCCATCCCTACCAGGCAGCACCACATTCAGCTCAATGAGGTGTTAAATTCAGTCTAACTGGACCATATAAACACTAACATAATGAAGAATTGACAAGTCTGAACCACACTCCACTAAATCCTCTCTCCCTTTTATTCCCAGGATGGGATTATAACCTATTTATTCTTGGGAGATTTCTTCAATTCAATCTAGGGCAGACACCCTGGAGGCTGTCTCTCTCTCTTCATCCTTAGAATGTTTCTCTTTCGTTTTACAATCTCACCTCCTCTTTGATGCCATTAGGGAGCCACACATGGTGTCTTTATTTTAACAGCTGCTACAAGCAGTCTGGCATCTCAGAGGGCATGCTGTATAGTCATATACGGTCTGTGCCTTAGTCCTGGCAAGACCATTGCATTACCCAGCTCCTTCCATGGAAGACTGATTACTCCAAATTGCATGCAATTTGCAGCAGAAGACTGCCGCTTGGCTGCCTGGGCTGCTGCCACACAGTCATCCTTAGCTGCACCTTCACTGACCTACATGCCAGTTTAAGGGACTATAACGTGACATTGGCTTGAGTGAAGTAAGTAACTTTTGAGCAAATACAGGCCAATCAGCGTTATTGTTAAAGAATGGGTGCATAATAAATCATAATGTATAACAAAAGGAAGGGAAAAAATCCCTTAGACTAAAATCTTGAAAATTCTCCACTTATTTCCATACCCCCTGCTGCATGTGGTGTCCAGTGGTAGGTAAAGAACCACACAAGTTAGAGATGGAAAAAGACATCACCTGCTCCATCTTCCTGGCAGTATTGTATCGTTCCTCACGCTACAAACTGAAGAACTTTGTCTGGCCTTGTTTTCAAAGTCCCAAACAAAGAGACCTCCACCATTTTCACAGCATAAAGAGTCTAAGCAATTTTCTCAGGTTATATCTACACTACAGAGCCTATGCTGGCATTGCCCCTCTTGTAGATGCAACGTACCCTGACCAAACCAGGAATTCTGCTGGTGTAGGAACAGCCCCTCCCCAAACAACATTAACAATGCTGACAGAGTATCAGAGGGGTAGCCGTATTAGTCTGAATCTGTAAAAAGCAACAGAGGGTCCTGTGGC